TAATCAGTGAAGAGACACGTTGTGGTTCTTGTTCTGGAAGCAGTCATTCTCTAACGGGTCCTCAGTAGATTTGAGTGATAATTAAAGGCGCATGCCTCCCCGCCATGTGCAGCCTGCCTGTGCATCTCTTGAACATCCAGCTAACCCCATGCTTTTCTCTTGCAGATAACGAGCAAGGAGGTGATGCCACTAGAAACAAATACCTTCCGATTATCCTGCAGGCAGCTGTGCTCTAAGCTGTCGCACGACTGCCTCCCGCTCCTTCCAAATAGCTTCTATTCTCTCCTTAATAGAATAGTGTCTCCTCCGGGACTGAGAGCAATTGATCTCCCTGCAAACCGGAGGCGTCCAGACCCTCTTGGTGCAGAGAGAGATGACTCTGCACTTCACTTCATTCTGGAGGAGCATGTGGCCGTGAGGAACACAAACATCCTCATGTCATCGCCGGCTCAGCCAAATTATTCAGGAATGAAAAGCTTTTTGGTTGTTACTATGGGGACTGACAGGCGTTCAAAACGGGGGCCAGATGCCCACCCCATTGCTCACGGTGATCCTAAACCCCTCTGACATCCCATCACACCGCACAAGCAAGGGGTCAAACCGCTGCTGCCTTCAGTTCATTTTGAGAGCTGAGACACCATCAGGGAAGCCAATGAGGGCTGCAATGCCCCACAGGAAAATACATTTCCCTGTTGTTCTGTGCTGTGTTTTTAAAGTTGGGCTGCGCATACTGGACTTAAACTGAGACTATTTGATGTACTGCCCAGGTGTGCCACTCACTGCCTTCGCAGGGGTGTGTTCTTGTAGAAAAGAAAAGAGCAGCCTTGGGACTCTGATACGTTGGCGTACCATATCAGAGCATGGGCTCCGCGCATTGCGTGGGCTGCAGAAACAGATCCAACTCCACTGAATTCCTTTCTTATTAGCAGCCAGCTGGCTGCCGCTGATGTTCTTAATATGGCTCTTGAAGAACGGCTGTACCTGTCCTCCAATTTCATGAAAAGCTCACTGGCTTCCAGCTACTCCTCCCTTGTTATCTAATAGGCCTCCAAGGCAGTGTTCCTTTGGTAACTGGCTGTTTCGGCTACATTCCTGTTATTTGTAGCCGAATGCTTCTAGAGCAGCAGAGGACAGACCACTAATCTCGTTCCTGAATATGCTGCTGTTGTCCATCACTCACTTTGCCCTAGCTAGGAGTAAAACTAAAGGTCTCCCTGTCCACAGAGAGGATACCGTGCTTCTTGAATCTCGCCTCGTCTCAGCGTTCCTCAGTGTCCTGAAATATCCTTTTCACTGGATTAAACAGGATGCAGAATTTAGCATGTGCCCTACTGGTGCCAAGCAAACCAGTCTGGTTCCTTGCAGCTGTGCCTCCAGGGTCCTCTTCACATCCATGTGAAGCTCCCCAGCCACTCTCCAGCCTCCGGGGAGACAGCTTGTATTGATGGAAAGCCGAAAGCCTCTGTCCCTGCTGCTCAGTCGCGTGCCTGTTTCCATCTGGCCCTCTGGGTAGCTCTGCTGCCTTATCTATCTTTCTTCGGCTGACAGGCATTTAGAAGCATCATCACCAGTTCATCTTAGCTCCCACTTAGCAGCTAATTAAAAGAGCAGAACTTGCAACCGAGAAGGTGGTGCAAGCCAGAGTAGGTGAAGAACATGATGCGCAGCCACATCCTGTTGCCTGCTCAGAATATAGGGCCTGATCTGGCTCAAAGGTGGGCAGGCCGGCATCTGCTCCATGCTCTGTAAAGCCACCCGGCAGCATGTTCACAAAGGCAGGTTTTACACAGTGCCGTGCTTTGAAGAACACAGCAATAGATAATGGATTACTGCCAGACCCTTTTAGGATGATGCTGGCAGCTCTCTTCACTCCTGCAATGCCCATGAATATGGAAGGGCTCAAAGCCTCTGAGACAATTATTTTATATCCTCTGCCATCCCAGAAATAAGATTCATGGGGGAAGCCATGTGCTCAAGCCCCCAAACAAATTACTGAAGCGCTATCATGCAGCAAATAGTAAAGCATGAACATTGGGGCAGGGCTGGGACCTGGATTGTCAAGGACCAAACTGAGCAATGCCTACATGTTATGAGACTAGACTCAGCTGGGGTACAGAAGGAGTCTTCAAGGTGAAGCAGGGGTGCAGTAATTCTGTGGGGTCCGAGTCATTTTTTGAGTGAGCAGGAGATACTCAAACTCCTGCTGTTTTTAAAAGGCCTCTCCATAGCCATCTACAGTTGAATTTTTCTCTCTGCTGTGTCATGCACACTTTCCTTTGGTGTTAGCTGTTCCCATCAACAGTGTCTGCATTGTTCTCACCAGGAGCTTCATCTGATGCACTGCAAGTGCCCTTCTATCCCCAGATCTCCCCTTTGCCAAACTGCCAGTGCATCATCTCCTGCTGGCACTCTATCCATAGATTCACAGATGTTAGGGTCGGAAGGGACCTCAATAGATCATCAAGCCCAACCCCCTGCATAGGCAGGAAAGAGTCCTGGGTCTAGATGACCCCAGCTAGATGCTTATCTAACCTCCTCTTGAAGACCCCCAGGGTAGGGGAGAGCACCACCTCCCTTGGGAGCCCGTTCCAGACCCTGGCCACTCGAACTGTGAAGAAGTTCTTCCTAATGTCCAGTCTAAATCTGGTCTCTGCTAGCTTGTGGCCATTATTTCTTGTAACCCCCCAGGGGCGCCTTGGTGAATAAACCCTCACCAATTCCCTTCTGCGCCCCCGTGATGAACTTATAGGCAGCCACAAGGTCGCCTCTCAACCTTCTATCCATGGCATCACCTCCAATTAGTTTGGACCCAATCCAGCCCGCACTGGTTTCAGAGGGAGCTGGATACATTAGTCTGCCTGCAGAGTTCCCACTAATGTCCATGGGTGTTGTAGGTACAGAATGCTCCCTGGAGAAACAGAGCATGGGAGGAGAGGAGAATACTGTCTTTGCTTATCACTCCAGGCCAAAACCCCTTCCCAGTTATACCAGCGAAGCAAACATTTCAGGCAGAAGAAGAAGAAATGAGGCTTTAGATCATCATAAAATCCCAGAACAACTTTCTTTTTCTGGTGGTAACATTTGTGGGTGGCAGGTACCATGTATAGTAACACGTGAGAATGGCCTGTAATGTACGGTTTGTGCTTCGAATATCACCGGGCCTCTCTTTGTTCCTGAGCAATCAAAGTGGAACGTGTTATTATATGAAAACCGCACAAAACTTACAAGTACAGTGCAGGGCATATTGCTCATTCACTGCCAGAACACATACTATTCATTTTTCTCGCTCCGGCTTTTAAACTGTTATGCTACAAGAGGAGTGTTTATCAAGCATTGCCATAGTTCCCCAGGCTTTTTTTTTTTTTGGAGAAAGGCAATTATTGGACCAGGCTAATCCCTGCTATCACTCAATTGGCTGCCATGCACTTACGCCAGGGATACATTTGGTCTGGGATGTTGATTTTTCCACTCTGCAGAGTCTGCCAAGGCCTCCGTTTTACACGGGGTCGGATACTCGCGTTTCATCTCTCCAGAGCCTGGAGATGATTTAGTTTCCTATAAAATTAGCGCTCGAAGGATCTGCAGAGCAGAGGTGCGTGCTGTGTTGTGGGATAAGCCAAAGGCGCTGAAAGCCAGATGTGTGACACTTTGCCTTCACGGGAGGATTCGTTGACTAATTCAGAACATGCAGATGGTTTCCAACCTCACGCTCCAGTCTCTGTCATGTCCCCAGGGTGCCAGGAGTTAATTTGAATGAAGCACCTCTAAATTCTTCCCATGGAAAAGAAAGATTCAGCAAATAGTTCCACCACATTTGTGTGCTAGGGGCTGACTTGGCCTGCACGATCGTGTTGTGCTCTAGCAGCATGCCACAATCACTAGAGCAGCCCCTTGCTAACAGCTCAGGCTAAGATGTTAAAGGAACGTAGGGAAGCTAGATGCCCAGCTCCTGTTGAAACCCAGTGTGATCTGGGCACATCACTCCCTTAGAGCGCCACTGCAAGTCCCACTCTGAAGACAACCTTCATCTCTAGAGAAGTTCTTTGTGCCCCTGGAACAAAACGCTGCTGCCGGTTCTGGCTCCACAATGCTGCACTGGGCACGGAGCTGGGGCAGGGGTGGCAGGGAAGCCAGTTGGAGGCTCCTGCTACTCTTTCATGGCTTTCTGGAGGAACATAATGCAGGCCCAGCTCATGATTGCCTGCTGCTGTATCACACCTGTGAAGGAAAGGCTCAGGGATGTCATGTGGAGGGCAGGGCATTGTCTTGGTAGACCTCCCTGGTGAGGTCCTGCCTTGCTTCTGACAGATGAAGAGACCCCTCACAACTGTCTCCTCCTCCTTGCAACCTAAGAGGAAAGGATTTCACCCACCTCCCAATCTCAGCATATCACCCAAGTGGTACTGAGGCACCCTATTCCCTGAGTGGTGAGCATCCTCCCTGACAGTGGCCAAGACAGCATGTCCCCTCCAAGACATCACAATGAATGCTGCCATTGATCCTACATCATGATTGGGAAGTGGCCAGCTACAACAATGCAGCGCAGTACTCACATGATGGACCAGCCCAGGTAGTTGGCTGTGCTGCCCCAGTACATGGGGTTGTCCAACACATTGAATGGGAATCTGGTCACCTTCGCCTCCATCAGGATGCCAAAGTAATCACCTGCAGAGAACAGAAGAGGGGCTCTTACACTGTGATCAAATGCAATAAGCAGTAATTGAGGTCAGGCCACCCAGTGCTGCCAGCTGTAGGTACTGCAGAGCTCCCACCAGGTCACTCGCTGCATCCTGGGCATGTCTGGGGAGGAGTATTCCCTGCACGCCTTGCCTGCCTGCTCCAGACCTGAAAATACAGCAGGGAATCCTCTCTGAAGACCTGCCCCATGACTGTCCATAGAGACAGAGGTCCTGGAAGCGACTGTGGAGGGGATCCCCAGTGTGGCTCCAGCACCTTGGTTCCAGATTTGGCCCATGGGAGAGGGAGTGGGTGGACCAGGCACGATCAGAAGCAGCCCTCCCTGCCCATCCTGGGGATGCAGTGTTGCCTCTACCTCCCTGGCCAGGCTGCTGTGGTTTGGCACAGCTGACCTCCTTGCAGTCAACTGAGCTGGGAGTCTTTGGGCCTGGGGGAAGGCGAAGCAGGAGCCTTCCGTGACCCTTTTTCAGACCAAGGTAGGGAACTTCATAGATTCATAGATGTAGGGTCAGAAGAGACCTTGTAGATCTTCTAGTCCGACCCCCTGAGCCTCAGAGCCTCTGGGATGCTGTTTTACTCTGTACTTATCAGTCTTCCCTGTGGGTCATAGTTTCATAGTTTTAGGGTCGGAAGGGACCTAATAGATCTTCTAGCCCGTACCCAGATGCAGTGGGAAGGTTTGCATATTCCTACAGGCCAACCCAAACCAGGCGAGTCAAAGCACAGGGACCGAACAGAAAGCAGCCCACCGCTCCTTCAGGCTGGGGTAAGCCACGGGCCACCCACCTCTCTCCATAATACAACAGGAGCACCACAAAGTGGCTTCCCTGGCACAGATCATGGCCTCTAGGGACAGCAGAGCTCTCTCTGTGCCCAATGCAACCTCCAATGGTAAGAGCAGTGCTCAGTTTCAGATGCATCACCAGGCATTTACCCAGTTAAAACCAGTTGTAGTGTTATTTGGGAAGAAAACAACATGGGCAATTAATTTTCAAGCATCAGCAGGCCATCAGCTCCAGACCCGGGAGACACTGGCTCTCGAGACGCAGAACCATGCTGGTAGGGGTGCGTGAGCTGTCTGGAAGCCTGCAACACTGGCTGCTGTCAGAGCAGCTGTCAATACCGAGACAACATGATAATAAAAGACTTCACCACCAGAGAGGAGGAATGAGTTGAGACAGACCCTCAAGTACTCTGATACGGCAATTTCCAGGGTTTTCATATCGCTGAGCTTCACCTCTTCATCTCATCTCATCTTGTTCCTTATAATTACTAACTATAAAAGCACATTCACAAGTTTCCACTATTTTTTTTCCCTCCACAATGAAAAGCCTCTATGGTAATGTTCTGCCATTTATTCTACGGTGCCTGAAACACCCTGACATCGCACGCAAGAGCTCAGAGGAGAACACGGTCTCCAGTCAGTCCCCAGTGGGTGTTTTGCCACAGTACAATACTGCTGTGCAGCCAGACCGGGCTGGCTGTCTCTGCTTGGCAGTTTTGAGCTGTATGGGCAAGGAGCGTGGCTGGGGCAATCCTGAAAGAGAGGACGGTGAAGGCCAGACTTAGTCTACAGAGCTGCCCATCCCAGCGGTATCCAAGGTGTGGGTGCATGGAAGCCTCCAGCATTCCCACCGCTCCCCCATGCTCAGGAGGCTCTCCCTTCCACGAGGCACACCGACCCCCTCGCTGGAAATCAGGGCCTTGTCAGCTAGGTCAGTGAGGAGAAAGAATTAGTGATAGAGCCAGGGGCTGCTTTGATGCAATTCTGTTTCATACAAAGAGCGCACTGGGGAACCAAAGCAACTGGAGACAGTTTTTCTGCTCAGAGGAGCAAACCTCCTTGCAGCCAGCAGCCTCACAGGCTCTCCCCCTAGTCCTTCCTCTGGGGCCTGCTACTATGCTGCTTCTGGCTGGCTAGAGCTTCAAACTTGGCTTTTAAGCCTGTATTTCAACATGGGCTCCTTTTCCTACATGCACACATACACACATATTCTCTCTCTCTCTTTTGTACCCCTCTCTTTGTGGGGTACAAAACAGCACCCTGCAAAGCCCTCCTGCCCAGAGGGTCTGAAATTCTTGAGCAGCCTTGCATTTCTCTCTGGCGAAGGCTTTCCTCTGAAGATGCAGATGCACTTCTTTCCATGGGGCACCAGGCCAAATCCACGCCTGGTATAACTCTGCAGAGGCGCTCCAGTCCCGACCTGCAGCACCTCCTGATAACCCAGTGCGACAGTCCTGGGAGCCAGCAGTTCCACCAGGGATGATCTGAGGGGTTTTAAAGCTACAAATTCAAAGCAGCTTGTTGGGCAAGTAAACACAAGAAAGCAGAAACATTTAAGTGGAACAAATATTCCCAGAGAATCATAATTGCATCTCAAGATGTTGTAATCAAGATAACCATCGCCACACGCCCTCCTCTGGTGTCAGCTTGATCTCTTCATTCAAAGAATTTCTCAGTGTCAGAAAAATAGCTCGCCCACTTCCAAACCACTGGGCGGGAGTCACTGTTATTGGTATTATTCTCATTATGATGTGATTGTCAGTTGTAAGGAAGCAATGCTTTCAGAGTTGTCAGCCGCAGCAGGGTGGCGGCACGACACCCACCTTAAAGGAACTCCTCCGTACTGCTCTGAACCAATTCGCAAGAAAACAGCGAGCAAACAAAGTTTGAAGTGTGTTAATTTGGGATACAGAAGGAGCTGGGGGGTGGAGGGGCAAGGCTACAGTTCGGGTTGGCTCTTAAAAGTGTGAGAGAAAGTGCTTGCTGTGTACACAGAAGCTCTGATGAAGATCCACTGGACAGAGAGAAATGCAGTGCGATTCACCGAATATAAAGCCGGGAAGTTTACAGAGGACGTGGACATGCCAACAGAACTGCCCTCCGACAGGGAACGTTGAGGTGAAAGCTCGGGGTCACTTATATGCAGAACAGCTTTCCCCAGAAAGAGCTACCAGGCCTCAGGACAAGGTGGAAGAAATTGCCTGGATTGGAGCCCCAGTAAAATTTACAGGATGGGGCAGATTTGCTCCATGTCGTGCCGCTACAATTTGTTTTTCGTCAGCCCAGCTGGGTTCCCCCAGGATAGTCTGCACACATACCCATGGCCTGCGAGTGCAGCAGAAAATGTGGCATCAGTGGTTGATCGCAACTGGAGCTTGCAGCAAGATGTCTGCTACGAACAAATGAATGGAGTCAGTCTGAAAAGGCTCAGAAGCACATGGTGGTTGTCTGATGATCAGTCTAAGAGGATCCTGGAAGAAGCATGTGCAAAGCTCAATTGCTCTGGGGTGCAATTATCTATCCTCACTCAAGTCTCAGGTTCAGACGACTGTTCCTGCGTGGCAGAGGATCTTGACCTTCAGTGCATGGATTGTATGCAGAGTCCCTGGCCAATGCCTGCAGCCCTCAGAGCCAACTGGGCAGTTGAGACTGGGCATGTATTGGCTTTAAGTAGGAAAAGGTGTGGGTGGGCCCTAGACAGGGCATGGTCTCGGTGGTGGAGCTGAGTGCCACAGGAAGGAGGGGCAATGGACCTACTGGATCTGGGAAGGGCAGTGGGGAGGTTTGGCAGGACCCAGAAGGAAGGTATCACCTCTGCAGAGGGGATTCAGGGGAACAAGCTGCAGTCCATTATGAGCTTGATGGGTAGATGCCGAGGTGCAATTTAGCATTTGTCTTTGCAAAGCGCAGCACCGCCTACCACCAAGCCAGCAGAACCTTCCTCTGCTCGTACTTCTGTAGAATGATTATAATAATATTCGTCTTCCTGAACACCGCAGGGGGGTAGCGAGGGTTAATGTATATTTGTAAAGTGCTTGGAGATCTTCACATAAAAGACCTTTGCAGGGGGGCAAAAGTTACTCTTATTATTCCCTGGATCACACTGCCATTTCCTTGGCCTCACGTAGCGCAAAACCTTTATTTCCAAGAAAAAGCAGTTGCCGGCCAATTACACCACCCCTTCTGACTTCAGCTATATGCGATTAGTGGGATAATTACCTGGTGTTAGCATTATACGTGTGAGCAACTCTCTTAGCAGTGTGGCAATCTCCTCCCCAGGCAGTTCTATAGATTGCGTCGAAGTGTTCCTTGCCCACTTTGGCGCTGAGCTATTCACGGGTGACGAGCCCCGCTGAGACTGGAACTTATAGCTCATCGTCTTCAGCGCGGCAGTCAATTTCTGCATCTTCTTTGGGGGTATTAATGGACCAAATGCTGTTCCTCACGTGGCTTGTTCTTGTGTTTGGCTATTAGCATCTCTGTTGCTAAATCATTCATTGCATAACACAGGCTCCTATGAGGTTCAACAGCAAAAGAATGCACCTGTCTTGCTGGCCTTGGCTTATCGGCTGAGTTATGCCCCGTGGGGGCCAGAGGCATGCTGCATAGTTGGAGAGCCTGTTGCAAACAAATAAAACCACGTGCAGCCCTGGGAGTCCGTGAAGTCTATTATTAACATTCCCCAAACCTCCTCCGTAGCTTGGAATCTCATATCTCAATCACTGGGGTTAAGAAACAGAGAGACAATAGCTGCAGGTATTCTGAAGCAATCCAAGTGCAAAGGCAAAAACCTAACCAGCATTTGTTCAGGTCACGCTGGATGCTAACACCCTGCAGGTGAAATGCCAGGGCTTGCCCTTTTAAAAACTGCTTCCTTCTTGTGCCTAAAGGATTACATCCACCCGCTGCCTGTCTGGTATTTAGACAGTCACTGTCTTACTATGTACATGTTTGTACCTAACACCATGATGTCAAGATGGGTCCTACGGACATTATTACAATACAGATAAATAATAAAGTGCTCCTGTGTACCTGGGCACACAAAGGAGGGGGAATAGCACACCCAGCTGTGACTGTGCCCAGCAGGTGATAATGCATCTATATTTGCACCCACTAATGATCTGTTTACTGTGCACTATTAATATAATGCAGAGCTGAATTTCTACTAATGCAGGAAGTAAAA